ACGGTGCGCAAGCCATGGAACTGAGAGGGGGGCAGCCAGAGAGCCAACAGGGCAGAGGCTTGGCGGACTGAGCACTGTAACAGAAGGGACAGACGCAGCGGGCCCTGAGTAGGGTGAGTTAAGGAAAGCCCTCGGCCTCCCCCAGAACCCCCTCCCCACCCCAGAGACATCTGAGCCGGAGCAAGAGGTGGCCATGTTTCCGGTAATGGGGGGCAGAGGTTGACCAAGAAGGTGGGCCACTCCCAGAGGCCCTCTCTCTGGACAGACAGGCCTGGGAGTCCACAGCACCCTGGCCTCCCCAGTCCTGGCCACCTACTCTTTCTTTCTTATGTATTTATTTTTTTAATTTACATTTAATCACTGTATATCTTATTTTTAAAAGAATTATTTGTTTAATTTTATTTATTTATTCATTTATTTTAACTTAACCAGAGACAGAGAGAGAGGGGAAGTGGGAAAGCGCGCCACCAGGCCCGGGACTCAAACCATGGTCATGAGGGAGTGTCTACAGCCTTAACCACCACGCCACCTGCTGGTCCCTCCCTGTATATCTGTACAGTGCACAACCTTGCTTTTTCCAACACTAACATGGTATATATCAATCAAGACAAAAATATTACCATGCACATGATTATCAGCAAAGAACTTCGTTCTGTGCCAATTAAGCATGCTATTTCCCCCGTTCCCCCTCCCTCCATGACTCAGCCCTGTATTACCCCTACCCTTACTACCTCTAGTATGTACAGTTGCCTCCCTACTGTACCTCCCAGACCTTAGGTGTCTGCTACAGAGCGCAGACATTCTACTCTTCAGGCCCTCTCGCCGGCCCCGGCCCCGTTGTAGTGGCCCCCTAAGGGATGCCACAGTGAAAGGGCCACCAAAGAGAAGGTCGCCTACTTCCATGCCGTGCCTCTCGCCCTTTCACCGCGGGGCGGAGGCTGGCCCTCCCTGTCTTCCCCTCGCCTCCCTTTGCCTGTCCAGCCAATGGGTGAAAGGACGATGCCATCGGTAATGCCATGTGCCCCCAGACCCACTCTGCTTCTCCGGAGGACAGCTGTTCAGCCCGAACCAGAAGCTCCCAGGATGGAGGGTGCTCTGGGCCCCCAGACAGAAAACGATGCACGGCTGGCTCTCTGCCTGCCCTCTCGGCCCCTCATGCCACCCTCCTGCCCCTGCCTGGCACTGACCCCTCTGGGGGCCCGGCTGCCTGGGGCCTGCTGGGCCTCTGTGTGCAGACTGCAGGGCTGCCGTGGCACCGTTCTGCGTGGAACGTCTGGGCACAGCCCACTAGGAGCTGCGGGCAGTGGGGTGCTCCTGAAGGCATGGCAACTGGTAGCGAGATGCTGGCTGAAGTGCCTCAGATCGGGAGGGGTGCGGAGGGAGGGGCTGGGCTGAGCAGGAGGGAGTGGAGCCTGTTTACCCAATGGTGGAGCGATGGCGACCAAGGGGTGGTTGTCATGTGAGCAGATGGCTTCAGCTGCAGATAGGGCTCTCCGTACAGCCCAATGGTTGCCCAGAAATCAAGCGACGGGTGCATGTGCCAGGCCCCAGCTGCGAGCAGGGTCTTCACACCGGGGCCGGGCAAGTGCCCAGGGCTAGGACAGCAGGGGCACACCAGGGCCTTCATCATTGGCCAGCCCAGGTCCCCACATGGGGAGGGTTGTTCCAGCCCTGGTTCCAGACCAGGGGGTTTGCTCTCCCACAGCCTCGCTCCCCTGGAGAGTACCTTAGCAAGGGCTGATGCCCAAGCCCATGGCCCCCGGGCCAGAGCAGGCCAGGGCCAGGCAGCTGGCAGCACTGCCAGGCTGGAAACCTGTGCGCCCAGCCACCCTGGCCCTCCACCTCACCAAGGCTACTTTCAGGGTCTTTGGGGATCACCTTGGCTGGTACCCAGGGGAACCCCAGGGAGGGAAGGGTTTCCGCTGCTACCCCTGAACTACCGCTGTCAGCCTTGGGGCTCTGGGCGGAAAGAGGGGACAGCAGGGTCTGGAGCCCACGAGCCGCCTCACCTGAGCTGTCAGGAGCAGACAGTCCCGGGCAGGTGGACCTGAGGCACAGCTGCAGCCTGGAGTCCACGGTCCACGACACAAGCTGAACTCAAGTCCCCTTCAAGAAGATTCTACAGCCAATTCCCCAGCTCCCAGCAGGGCACAGGCAGGCTGTGCTGGCCGCAGGGTCTCTGGGGATGAGGTGAGAGGCCTTCTTCCAGAGGCCGAGCAGGCCTGTGCTGCCAAAGCCTCCACGCCCTGGCCTGGCCAGGCCTGGCCGGGGCTTTACTGCGTCCAGCGATGGCGGCTCGAGGGGAGCAGAGACAGGGAGGGCAGGGCTGGGAGCCGCTGCTGGGGGCAGTATTCTCCCACCCCACCTTCCTCCCATCTTTCAGCCCTGACTCACTGCAGCGTAGGATGGGGGGAGGCGTCAACCTTTCCAGAAACTCCTCTGAGTCAGCTTGCCAGCTTTCGCGGGGGTCAGCTGGGGCGCAGGCCACGAGCACAGATGGGCGGACGACCCGGGAGCTGGGGGAGCCCGCACACCTTCTCCATCTCCAGGCATTCTCATGTCTGTCCTGTTGTCACAGTGCAATGCTTATCGGACATCCGGTCTGAGAAAGGACCCGGAACCGCAGAACACCTGCAGGGGGGACTGTCAGAGACACAGAGGTCACCCAAGCTCCAGTCCAGGCCGCGAGAGGGCAGCGCGGGGAGGGCTGTGGTCTGCCCAGAAGGGACTGCCACCGATGCTAACAGGGGAAGGCAAGCAGCCAGGGCCTAAGGCAAGGCGCGCAAGGTGGACGGGCGCTAGGAGTCTGGGAGGTGACATGGCGCCAACGCTCCCCCCAGATCCAAACCAGGAAACCAAGGCCCAGAGATGGGACGGGGCCTCGGGCGCCAAAGGCAAGGCAGCTGCCAGAGGCAAGGCAGCTGACCTCCTCTTTCAGTGGTTAATGACTCAGGGAATTCAGCTGCTGCCCCAACACACCGGGTGGCCAGGCCTCCCTCGGCTGCCCCCACCCAGGTTGCTGTGCTCCGGCTCCAGCTCCGGCCCAGGGCCTCGAGCTGGCTCTCAGCACCTCCCCATTGCTGCCCTGGCGCCCCGGGGCCTCCGCCCCCACAGCAGCCCCCCTGGGCTGCCCACGACGTTAGTGCCCAGCTCTGGAACCGTCGCCTCGCTTTCCCTAACTGTGACACAGAAACAGTGTCCTTTGACTTCCACAAGTGGTGTCAGGGTGCGAGGAGGTCCTGAGAGGTGCAGACGACAGCCGACAGCCGAGGAGACCTGGTGATGGCATCCCTCCCACCGGC